CAGAATTTGAGTTATAATACTGGTAACATACTGGGCTAATACATTAAGAGCCTATGCATGGCTTGCGAGCCTGCTATATATAGTAAATATTATATAATTGTAGAGTTATAGTAGCCTATGCAATAGGCCAGTATATGTGTGTGTGTGTGTGTGTGTGTGTGTGTGTACATATACATATTTGAGCTGCTAAGTGAATACCTCAGGCAGCAGAAACCTGAGAATGCATTTGAGGAGGATGAACCATCATGGAAGGACAAGTCCCTGCACGGCATGTACCACAGACAGATTGAAGAGGTGGCCAACGTCAAGAAATCGTACCAGTGGCTGGAAAAGGCTGGACTGAGAGACAGCAGAGAAGCACTAATCATGTCAGCACATGAACAGGCACTTTGTGCAAGATCACTAGAAGCAGGGGTCTACCAAACCAGACAGGACCCCAGGTGCAGGCTGTGCAAAGATAATCCTGAGACAGTTCAGCACATAATAGCAGGGTGTAAGATGCAGGCAGGAACAGCATACATGGAACGCCATACCCAAATGGCTGGCATAGTGTACAGGAACATCTGCAATGAATATGGGCTGGAAGTCCCAAGGTCACAATGGAAGACACATCCGAGGGTGGTTGAGAATGACTGAGCTAAGATCCTAGGGGACTTCCAGATCCACACTGACATACTGGTGCTGGCTGACCAACCAGACATTGTGTTGATGGACAAACAACAGAAGAAGGCAGTAGTGATAGATGTAGCAATCCCAAGTGACAGCAAAATCAGGGAGAAGGAACATCAGAAGCTCGGAAAATACCAGAGGCTGAAAGAGGAGCTAGAAAAGATGTGGGGAGTAAAGGCAACAGTGGTGCCAGTGGTAATTGGGGCGCTCGGGACTGTGACTCCCAAACTTAGAGAGTGGCTCCAGCAGATTCCAGGTACAACATCTGAGGTCTCTGGAGTGCAACATCTAAGATACTGTGCACAACCCTCAAACTCCCAGGCCTCTGGTGGGAGTACTGAGCTTGAGGAAGACTCACCATCATCCCCCAGGAGGGGGGGTATACACACACATCTGTGACATATTAATGTGAAAAGAACAGTGGTAGTCCTACAAATAGGCTATGAATGAGCAGAGTAAATTATTTTCACCATATCTGTTTCCCACAGGTTGACACACAGCTTTTCATACTACACAGGCAGAGGCCTTCACTGTTGTCTTCTCTGACAGACAACACTGAATCTACATCATTGTTACCATCATGTATCACATAATGTACTATAGGTGCCAGATGTGGCACCACAAGTGATTTATGAATTATATATAATTGCTAATGTATGTTTTTAAAATGGTATAATTTTAATGTGACTTTTGCAAATATACACGGAGATTGGTCAGTGTATACTTGAAAACAAAGTCATGAGTGACTCATCCATGTACCCAAATGTTACGTCCTTAAAAATCAAGGCAGCATATTTGTGCAATTTGTCCATAATATGGTATCATAGACTGTATTGGTACACACACAAAAAAATGCAAATATGATACTTAACCTTCTGTAAAGTCAAGTTGTTCTGGAGCCATCCCGCACCTCCTGCAGAGAGAGCAAGAAGAAATAAATCTCAGCTCCGGGCTCCTTCTGACTACTTTGGTGCTCCAGGCCAGACATCCACTCCAACCTGGTGGTGTCTGGTCCAGCTGATAATGCATGGACCCTGGGGTCGGTGTCCTGTTATGCAAAGGGTGAGTTGTGATGAATAAATCCACTATTTTTGTTTTTTAAGAAAATTTTAAAATATGCTAATGTTTACACACCATTGAAATACAAGAGATATCGTCCTTTTTAAGGCATCACAAATGGTTTATGTAAATGGCCAGAATTCTCTCCTCAACAGACTCACAGCCAGCCCGCCCTTAACAAACTGGCTATTCCCACCTCTGGAGCCGAGAGGGTCATTTGGACAGAGGCAGACTGTCATGGCATGACTAATGATGGATGATTGCAGTTTAATTACACTCTGAGGGTATCACTTTTCTGCGGCTGGCTGGAAATAAATCAAGCTTTTCAATACCGCACACAGTCTGTGGAATTATGGCAATGTATCTTTGTCATTTTTTAAAAACACAAATACTGTGTGTTTGTGAAAGGACTTGCACTCTCACCATCAGTTTATCCCTTTTGTTATCTGTCTTTATTCTATGCCCATATCCATTGTTTCAGCAGCAGATTATCCATTAATCTGGGAAGGGTCTCTTTAATCTCTACTGAAATCCTAAATTAAGTTGTCCCCATGAGGTTGAACCAGTACAAAAACATCCATCTGAAAATGAAGGGAAATCTGCTTACTCTGGACTTACACAGTGGCATCCCTCGCCTCCGGTTGGGCTGGGGGGAGATGGCCTGTGGAGTTAGTCCATATGGCATAACAGTTGGCACATGTATATTTTTTGAGGTCTTGATGGAGCTCTATGTAATTTACTGGGACATCACTCAGCATAATCTCTTTTCAATACGCAGTGGCCAGTGGAGCATGTAAAAAAGAAAAAGCCTCATATTTTCCCCTCACAGCCCTCATGCCCATACTGACTCCATATCTGCGAGGTGACATTTATGCAAGTGTTCAGTCTATATCAGAGTGTGAGTGTGTGGATTTTGCGCCTCAAGGCAGGCTTACTGGCGCCTGATGTGTTGTGTATGACTGGCTGGCGAAGGGCACAATGCTGACGAGGTTGACTAGAGTGTCTCACCGTGGTCACACTCCAGTTGGAAAATTCTCATTTCTTGCTTCATTTTGGATTTAATTCATCCTGTGTGGCTGCGTACAGGAGTCAAGTAAACATCATGCTCAAGAGCCCAGAGCGAAAATGAGACTGGGAGGAGGGGGAGTGAGGGAGGTGGAGGGGGGAGGTTAGAGTGTTTGTGTGACACAGAGAGTGAGCGAGAAACAGACTGAGAGAGGAGCCTGTGTGTTCGTTTCACCTCCTAATCAGTTTTCCTGGGGGATCTATCATCGACTGCAGCATAGGAGGCAAGTAGAAAGGCAGATAAAGAAGATAGTAGATATCCGCGCGGCTGTAATCTTCTTCCATCTCAAATTTGAGCTTCATACAAGTAAGGAATTCTTCTATCATCAGCCCACTTATAGATGCTTGTAGCACTCAGAAAATAGATCTGTTATATTGTTCTCTCAGTGTATTAAGTTGGAAATATCAAGCAATGTTGCATTTCATCTCTGCATTTCTCTAGTATTAGACATAAAGTCAGATAATACAGTAGTTATGGTGTTAATTGCATGTTGATGTGCATGTGTGATGACATTTCTTCACAACTTCAGACATTTATTACATCCCACCGATGCCATTTCACACAACACTGTGGTGATATTTCATGCAACAGCACTCACTGCTTCATGTGATGCCCATTCTCCTAAATGTTAATGCCTGGTTTAACTGTGCAAGTGGGGGGGTGGGGGGGGGGGGGGGGTGGGGGTGCAGCGCCTCAAACTGTATTAGTCACACATCTCTGTTTAACAGCCTGTTTATTGAACTTCACACAATATTGCATCGCGTTTCATTCTGTGCAGCCGCCATTCCAACTCCTTTAGTTTCAAACATGTGCTGAGAAAATTCTGCCTTCTTTTCCCCCCTCTTGTGCAACCATCTAAATGTGTAAAGTATTCTCCTTGGAAGAAAATAAATGACTTTGAAGCACCCGACTTCCTTTCAGTGCCCTGCTCCATATGCATGAAAGCAGCAGCTCCTTTCATGATGCTCCCTCGCAGAGATAACAGCCAGATATCAGCTAGTGTAAGAACTGTAACTGAGCAGCCAAAATGTACACACTTCTAATTATGATTTATACTGCGAGTCCCTGATGTAATTACAAGTTAGACCCAGTTGCCTGATTTCAAGCAGCGGGTTATGAGAGCTAGTTCTGCTGCAGAGATAATTGGCTCTCATTTCTTTTTTATAAGCTGATTTATAAATCAGGGCTACGGGGACTGTGTGAATGGTATGGAAACCTGCGTGTGAACTGTGCTCACATGCATTCGATTCCAGAAGCGGAACACACGCAGACACATATATAGGGGTCTTTGATGACTTCCCTGTGAGAATCTCCTCTTGCCCCAGTTTCTATCTCGGAAAAAGACACCGTGGTTAGAAAAGAGAAAGGCAGCTGGAAAACTGATGTGTGGAAACACACATGCGTGATGCAACAGCTCTCTCCCCCTGGCCTCATCCTGTGAACGAGCTACCGCACAAATTTCACAGTTCACAGGCTTTAATGAGGTTCTGCAGCTTGTCCATCATACTGACTGGAGAACACCTTAACAGACCTCACAGTCAGACAATGACACTACGGCAGGCATCTGTAGGATCACACGGACAGCAAAATGAGCGTGTAACGATTGTACTATAGGGTTATTTTTAGGCACATCTGTGGTTTAGCATATGCTCAGTGTGAGAGTGATTTTAATAAAGGAAACAAGCAATGTGATTTGCTGGTGTTGAGATGCTGGAGAGAAATAAGGAGCTTTAGATCAGTAAGCAATGCCAGGGGAGAGGATAATAACACATTTAAGGTGGATGGAAATTACAAGCAAACTGTGGAGGAATAGATGTGTATTAGGGCAAAAGAAGATGAGCCTTGTGCACATGCTGCAGAGACTTGCCATCAGTTTATGAGAGGGATGGTGACAGCTAATCAAACACAGACAAAGGCTGACCAACAGCTTCCCCCTTGGCCCGGCACTCAAGGCTATGTGCAGCAGCCTGGATCGAATCACTGATGGGCAACTAAAGGAAATATGATCATACATCACCTGCTGCTGATACCTACTTAAACCTCCACTATCTCTGCCCAAACAAGTATAAAAGCTGCTGGAAGATTTCCCTCGAGCTGCAAGGAGTTCACTTAGCTCAGCTGTTTTGAAAAGGCGTGCGTTTCAGCCAGGAGGCATTAAGTGTTGAAAAACTTACCTTCAGTTTAAATTGTTGCTGACGGGTGCAGCAGCGTATTTTTTTTTTTGTGTTTGTGACCCCCTCCTTGAGAATCACAGGAGAAGACCAAGTGAGGCTGCAGACGTGTGGTTGCTGGGAGACTGCTGTAGGTGGATTATGAAATGCACGGGGGAAAGCAGAGGCCAGTCAGTCAGCCAGGAGCATATTGAGTTGTGTAATGATGGGAAATGTCAGCTGAGGGCGAGGAAAGGAGAAAAGAGCAGGACAATGAATAAATAACCCAGACAAAGATCCCTAAATGAAAGGTTAATTGGATTCTGTCTGAGGCGAATTTAGATGTGGTGTTTCTGAACTGTTGTACAGTGTCCATCTCTGAGCGACACAATTTAATCTCTCTTAGCAGATGTTCTGCAGCGCTGGTATTACAGCGATTACACTCTGGTCTAACCATCCTCTCTGATCTCTCCGTTTAATGGCAGATGACAGAAATGGATGCCCCTCTCTCCACCCCCTGCAACATCCAGATTTGTGAGGTGACCTGCGACTCCTTCCGCATTATGTGGGACATGACCCCTGAGGACAGCGCCAGAGCCACACACTTCTTCATTGACCTAAGCCGCAAAGAGAGCAGGGACCCCAACCGCTTCAAACACAGGGTCTGACCTCATGTACCCTCCTCTATCCTTCCCCTGGACATACCTATCCACTCTTTTCATGTTCATACTGTATTCTAGATTCACATCTATCAATATTCACCATAGCAGTGGTGAAGAAGTCATCCTCCTGTACGCCCTACAGTCTGAATGACACAGGGAAACAAGCATTTTATTGAGGTCTAGTTGGGTTAACAGATGGGTCCAACTGCCTCATTCTGCATTAGTCTGAACACTGAACAGCGGTTGCGCCCTTTCAGTCACTTCCAATACAGGCGAAAAAGGAAAATGAGTGCAGTCAACAGCTTCAGGCCAATGACTCACTTGTACATTGCTTCCTCTTAAAGTGGACTAAACTGACAAATTCATCTGCAGCACAGAACTGTTGAACTCATGTTAACAAATTAGGCACAATTCATACACCACAGAAATAAGGCAGCAGTGTAATAGCTTATCTTTTTTTTAAATACATGTCAGGGACTATTCATTTTTAAAAAAAATGAAAGGAGATGCTTTTTAGATCTCTAGCATGTACAATACACATTTCCATGTCACATCTTACTTAATATTTTTTTGGTTTATTAGTCACTCCCATTTTAGTCCTGACAAAAATACTATTTTACAAACTGCCACAGAATTTTGTATTGACATTCATGTTCCCCAGAGGATTAACCTTTTTGTCTTTGGTGATCTGCTGTCTTTATATTTAGCGCCATCATGAGGTCAGTTTCAGTGTTTGCAATAAGCATACCTGCAGAGCTAATGACAATTCCATTAGCCTCTACTGTACTTTGTGTTTGTTGCTTATTAGCAAATGTTGGCATGCTAACACTGCTAACGTGGAGAACATGGTCAGCATTATATCTGCTTAACACCAGCCCTGTTAGCAATTTTATAGTGAGCATATTAGCATCAGCATTTAGTAAATATGGCTTTCAACTCTTACCCTGCATTCCAAATTGCATCGCTTTACTTTCAGTATAGTATGTGCTGTAGTTGTATTTTCGCATGGAAAATGTATTCAACTGGGACATAATAGGCTACTTGGTCATGGCATTACAGCTTGCACTTTGACCCTCTTGCTCATATATCCGTTGCAGTCGCTAGCACGAAATTCAAAGTAAAAAGTAAAAGTATGCGATTCAGAACACAGCAGATCTTGAAGTTATCATGAAATGTTACCTTGGAGATACAACAAACCAGACAGAAATCAACCTCACAATCTGTCGTTGTTACTTTGCAATTTTACTGTTAACTTTTGCCCGCACCCATTGGATTCTAACAGGCAATACTTTATTCACAGCAGTAAAATTACATTTGCATTTCTACATCAGTGTTATTTTTATAGTTAAGTCCTTTGTTGTTATGGGTTATTTTTAAGATTTATTTTCTGTCAGCTGTCAGTGGGCTGCCAACTGTCATCTGTCGGAGCTCAGTAAATGTGACAAATCTTCCGCTGTGCAGAGGATTGTGGGTCAGAATAGCCTGTAAAGTCTGCTGGATTGCATACTGCAAAATGTGGCCAGATGCAATATGGGACATGCTGGTATTTTTGGCATACGGCATTTGACACCGGCCTACTATGTATTGGGACATACATGTACTAAATCTCTTTCTAGCACAAGCTACTAAATAGTATGGATACTGGAACGCACCATTAGTCTTGTTTAAATATTGCTGGGGGAAAGATTTTACCTTTTTCACACTGGTTGATTGCCTCCAAATTAATAACGTTATTGGCATTTCACTGATCAATTTGGTGTCTAAATTTAGCTCCAGTAACTGAAGTGTAACATCTATGATCTGCCGTCATTTCAGATGTAAAATACTGACTGTAATTATGACCTGTTATTGCAGCTGGCAGTTCAACAGCTCAAAAAGTGCTTTTGTGAAGTCAAGGCAGGGGTAGGATTGAGTCAGTTGCTCCTGAATGCAGGATATGTTCTCTCCCTGTGATACACAAAGAGGCACACAAACAAACTTGCATCAGAGATGTTGCCATGGATATATGGGCCTCTGAGCCTTTAGTAATTAGCTGTGCTTCATTAGAGGCTTTGGCCAAAACAAAGCAGCTGATTTGATTAGGTGTATCCTAGTTACAGCAGCATGGTCTTGAAGTGGAATGTCATGCTAATAAGGCAAAGTTTATGGAGGGGAATGGTTGACTTAACATTTACGTTTGTTTTGAAATGTAAATTAAACACACAGCACTCTGTTCTAGCTGTGCATCCTGTCCCCGATGTCATCTCCTTCCTGCTTTGTCCCCCAGGATGTGCCAACCAAGCTGGTGGCCAAAGCTGTGCCTCTGCCCATGGCAGTGAGGGGACACTGGTTCCTCAGCCCGCGGACAGAGTACTGTGTTGCTGTCCAAACTGCTGTCCGACAGCCAGACGGCGACTACCTGGTGTCGGAATGGAGCCAGGTGGTGGAGTTCTGCACCGGGGGTATGACAGCTACAGTAACACTAATAATGTATTATACTGAGTTTAAAATATAGAAAAAAATCTGTCACAGCCCAAGGTAGTTATTAGCATTTTACACAAGGCCTCTTTTGCATCGACTTTGCAGACTATGCTATGGAGCACCTTCAGCAGCTTCTTGACAAGGCCAAGGGCTCTGCAGGGAGGCTGCTGAAATTCTCTGTGTTTTATCGTAACCAACACCCAGACTACTTCGACTATGTCAGGTACGTGCTGCATTTACATCTCTTAGTTATATACCCAGCAATTACACACATCATGTTCGTACAGTAAAAAGGAAGCTACAGCGGGCCGTTAATTAGCTTGGCTATGTACAAAGACTGAAAACGGGGAAACAGCCGTCCTGACCTTGTCCAATGATAATGAAGTACGACTATCAGCATCTCTGTAGCACACTGGTTGCCATGCACCTCACGGTGACAACAAGACTCCAGGAAGTCACTGCACCTGGCCAAGATCAGGCCCCCAGGAAGGGCGCTGTGCTTTGAAGACAATTTCTGTAGTGGCCAAACTTCCAAGGCCCTAATGTGATGCCACTGGGCCCAGAAGGACTTTTTCCCATAGACTTAAATTGTGAAAGACACATCTGTGAGTCAGTGTCACAACCCCCCCGAAATGACTTGCTCTATTGGGATTTGATCCATTCAGTCCGATAACATTCGTAAAGTCTAGAAGAGATGCACAATTAACTGATTTTTATCCCCATTGAAGTTAGCAGAGAGCTAATTTGCTGATCATCCTGGAAATTTCATATGCTGCAGTTTAACATTTTTGGCTTCATGCGCCACTGAGCAACTTTCAGTTATATCCAGTTCTTTTAATACATCCATGACCAAGACATAGTCTAGCACATTACCCACGCTAAAATGTCCTTACATGTTGGTTTTGCTCTAATTAAACAAAGTTAAGAGGTGCTGGTAGGTGGATTTTATTTGGTCAGAGCAAGGCTACCTGTTTCCAGGCTTTGTGCTAAGCTAACTGCTAGCTGTAGCTTCGGATTTAGTGTACAGACGTATGAGAGTGATATAAATTTTCTCATTAAACCTACATCAAGAAAGTGTATTTTCCAAGATGTTAAGAATAATACCTCTTTATGTCTTCATATCTCGGATCAGGAGGGAATGTGGAGGCCTGATGCGTCCAGCTCTAAAAGACATCAGTGGCAGTCATGGTTCTCCTATCAACGGCAAACTGCAGGGAGTCTTCTTCAGCTGCAACACAGAGTTTGATACAGGCCTCCCTCCCAAAGACTCCCCATACGGCCCCCTGCGTTTCCAGATCCCAGCTGGACACCTGCTCAACCCCAACATTTCTCTGTACTTTGCAGACTTCTACTGTATGTACACAGCCTACCACTATGTAGTGCTGGTGCTGGCCCCTGTTGGCTCAGAGGGAGATAACTTCTGTCGCACCCGCCTCCCTATGCTGGACTTGGCCTCCAACCCCTTCCTGACATACAATGCCCCCCAGAGACCGGAGGAGGAGCCTCTGTACTGCCATGCCAGCGACGTCATCCTTGAGGTGCTTTTCACGGATCCGGTTCCTTTGGATCAGGGCAGTGTGGAGCAGATCAGCGGGCACCACCAGCTTATGAGTCTGACTACTGCAAATGCCAAAAAAGACCCCAGCTGCAAAGTGTGCAACATCAGTGTGGGACGCTGAGGGAGGTGTAGGACAAACCTGGTTGTGTGAGCCTGCAATACTGAAAGCCACAGCGTTGCACAAGGCAAAACAGTTGAGACCATCACGTGTAGGTCAGAAAACAGTGGAAACAGCCCACCTCTCGGGGTGCGTGCATGCTGCTGCCCCTCTTCCCTCCTGCCTGGACTAGAATAGTGAGTATTATATAGAAGACTTTACAATGTGTTTCGCAGAGCTTCATCATGATCACAGCTGGAAACACAGTCCATCCATGACTGCTGAACAAAACATAATTGAAGACATGATAGGCTTTAGAAGGCTGGAAAATATCTGTGCTCCTTATTTATTGACAGTCGCCTGTGCTCTCCTGTACTTTTGTGGCATTTTATGAAAATCTTTTTCTTCTTTCTAATTTACATTTTTTCCCTTAAGATGTGTTTGATTTAATTTTTGTTATGCTGTACTACTAGTCTGATGTGATTTATCTTCAAGAAACTTGTGTTTGAAACAACCTTAAAGTAAAAACGCTAGAAGAATGCCCTTTTTAAAACACTGGAGGTCATAACAAATATTTTCCTAATTCTACTTGCAATGTTCTCTCTTTTAAGTCACTGCCACATTCTTTGTCCTAAAAAAGACTTACTACTGCCAAATGTTTCATATTAATTATTAATTTAGCTTAAACTCTAGTTTTCAGGATCCCTGCCAAATGCTCCAATGCCTCTTAGAAAAAACTCATTGTAGAGTTATGATTTGGAAATTGTGTAAATGTTGCACAGCAGACTTTTACTGCTGAAAAATATGCTGCAATGTGACAATGAAAGCAGAGCCATTCTGTGCTGGGGCTTTAGGAGGAAGGTAATAGGGAAGATAGGATCCCAAAGTTCCCTGCAATCAGTCTCTGACAGCAAGCCCCGGCTCTATAAACAGGGCTGAGCTAAGATTAGCTTCTCTCTTGCTATGGGGTTTCTGTTTGTCCCTGCCCAGTAATCTCTGACCTATATGGCAATCCCAGAAATGCCCAAAGTGAAAGGGATCCCATCCCTGGTGCACAACAGTAACACATGCACTGGTAAGTGGCCAATATGTAGGACATGACAAAAGAGCGTGCAGTGAAAATAAAAGGCTCACCCATTTAAAACTGAATGTGAAAGAAAACTGGAAAAGAAAAGTCAATGGAACGACCTGTTTTAAAGACTTTTTTATACAAAGCACTTACTAAGTCTAAAAAACGATGAAAATGAATTCAAATGTAATAAAAAAAATATCCACCTCATCTTTACCCTTGACTGCTGTTTTATGTCTGTAAATCTGGATCATTTCCAGCTTGAGTAAGTCATGCCCTTTCACTTGGATTCTTCCCGCGACAGAGGTGTGAGCTCACACACACAGCAATGCTGTAATTCTGTCCGCTGTTATTGTCCCAAAACGGCTCGCTGTGCCCTCCTGGTAAATAACTTAAACAGAATTCTATCTTCCTTTTGGCATCTAGGACTTTAGGAATGGCTACTTCAAATTCAAAGATATCTGTCTGAGGCCCTCCGAAGCGTTTCTGCACGTACGTACAGGGCACGTCTCTGTAACTCTGCCACGAGTCAAAGGTGATACGTATACGCACATCCTTCTGGAAACTGATGTTCCTGACTCGGACAGTACCTTGGACGATCTGTTCTGTAAGGCTGCAGTTCTCCAGGGTAACCATGCTCTCTGCCAGCTTGGCACGAAAGGCCTGGAAATCTGCAGAAGGCTGCGGGAAGCCCAGTTTGAGGCTCGTTCCTGGGCAGCAGGTGCTGACGGTGCAGCTGTAGCCATCCTCTGTCATGCTTCCCAATCCCTGCAGCGATGGCAGGAGGTCAAGGTCAGGCTGCTCCTCTTCGTCAGAAAACACCCGCACGGCTGTTAGGGACAATCCGCACGAGTCAGCGAAAATCACACGTTTGTTCTTGATAGGGAGCAAAACATCATCATCATCATCGTCCCAGTCGTACAAGGAAGATGGGAAGGGGTTGGTCAGATAGGCTCGGCTCAAGACATCAGAGGATAGCTGATCTGAAATTGAGGGGCGGATGCAAGGGCGCAGGGGCTTCAGGATGGGAACCCAAACATGAGGACAGAGCTGTTTACTTTGGTTCAAGCACAGTCTGACAGCAATCTCCGCAAGTCCAGCTGAGTGGGCCATGGACCCGAGGCCGACCATGGGCAGGACACTGGCAAGAGACAAACGGTGATAATAACAACTACAATTAAGCTTCACACACCAGAATCACAACACACTTAGTTATCTTACGTTGTACTGGACACCTCCATACTGATAGTCTGGTGTTGAATGATGGGAATATTATCCTCAGTGGTCTGGTTGGAACTCTGGAGAACAGAAAAAATTTCAGTGTTACAACAGATGGCCCTTTGTTAAAGATTGCAAAATCATGGGTTACACTTCACACATCTTTTTTTTCCCTGTGTGCACTTCTGCAAATATTATTAAAAAAAAAATCTTACTTACAAACTGCCAAGAGCAGCACGTTGTTGCCTGTAGTGTCAGTCATTCCTTTACCCGCGGGGGAATCCTGCACAGGACCCTATTTATACTACCTCGGTTACTATGTCACATTGTATGCCCCACCCTCTCCACTCTCCTGACCAATCAGCTTATTATTGTGGTTTTGTGCTTAAAGACTTGCCTATAGTGCAGATTTCAAGATCATTTACAGCAACATTTAACTCAGGTGCTACTTCTTCTCTAATTCTCTATCTGACTGTGAGGAAAAAAAACATTTTATTGTTATGTCTCTGTATTGTCCTCTTACATCTTGTCCAGTACTGACTTGGCAGTTCAGTACATACAGCACTACTGTATGTAATGCATCTCTGCATTGTGGAAACTATTCCAGTCATGTCCGGCTCTATTCTCAGACCTGTCTGTGGCCACTGAGGCTTGGATTCAAGTCACCTTTTAGCTGGCTTCTGTCCTGGAGGGATCGCCGCCCCACAGCATGTCAGTATGTGTGACGCAGAGGAGGGCCAGATTTCAAAACGATTCTCAGCGTGCCCCTCACCTATTCAAATATCAATCCAAGTATGTGTGTATGTATCGAGTTACATGAATCCTCATGTACCACACGTCATGGTCCCGCAGGTGTATTTGGACACAAAATTTGAGGACTTCTTGATGAGTGATGAATTGGAATGTCAATATTTAAGTCCAAAAAGCTTACTGAGGCAAAACACTGTTGGATGCTGTGTTTAAGAATAAATAAAAACAAATAATTTTGTAAACATTCAGTCATTTACAAAAGTTTTTATTTTTTCAAATGACATTTTCAAGCATTTTCCTGCTTTCATTTTCCAACATCAGATTGAGGATTATAGCATTCATGCACTCTAACTTAAGAGCTCCGCATGCCTGTTGGAACCCAATAAGTCTTGAGTCAATTCAGGCCAGCTTGCACGTGTATATGTAGATTTTTTTTAATAGACTGGCCTTGGGCTGATTTGACCTCTCTCCTTTCACTGTGCCCCTTGTTTAACACCTACAGTACAGGCCAAAAGTTTGGACACACCTTCTCATTCAATGCGTTTTCTTTATTTTCATGACTATTTACATTGTAGATTTTCACTGAAGGCATCAAAACTATGAATGAACACATGTGGAGTTATTTCACCTTTTTTTGTTAAGTACATAACTGAAAACATGTTTTATATTCTAGTTTCTTCAAAATAGCCACCCTTTGCTCTGATTACGGCTTTGCACACTCTTGGCATTCTCTCCATGAGCTTCAAGAGGTAGTCACCTGAAATGGTTTCCACTTCACAGGTGTGCCTTATCAGGGTTAATTAGTGGAATTTCTTGCTTTATCAATGGGGTTGGGACCATCAGTTGTGTTGTGCAGAAGTCAGGTTAATACACAGCCGACAGCCCTATTGGACAACTGTTAAAATTCATATTATGGCAAGAACCAATCAGCTAACTAAAGAAAAACGAGTGGCCATCATTACTTTAAGAAATGAAGGTCAGTCAGTCCGGAAAATTGCAAAAACTTTAAATGTGTCCCCAAGTGGAGT